TCCAAGGTCACAAAGTTGTTTTTTTTTTAATCTCTATGCCCAGTGTGGGGCTTGAAGTCTCGACCCTGAGATTAGGAATCACATGCTCTACCTACCGACTGAGCCAACCAGACACCACCAAGGTCACAATGATTTACTCCTGTTTTCTTCTAAGAGTTTTATAGTGTTAGCTCTCACCTTTGGTTTTTTTTTTTTTAAAGTTAATTTTTAAGTGTAGCCTGAGGAAGAGGGAGGTACAAATTCATGCTTGTCCTTTGAACTGTTTTGCCCCTTCACCTTTATTTTTCAGAGAAATGTTTGCTGACTCTAGATTTCCAGCTTGACAGATTTTGCTTTCAGGACTTTAAAGATGTCGCTCCACTCTCTTACATCATTTCCATTGAGAAATAGGACGTCATCCTTATCTTTGTTCTTCTGTATGTAACATGTTTTTTTTTTTTCTTCTAGCTACGTACAAGATTTATTTTCTCATTATCACTGGTTTTGAGCAATTTGATTATTAATGTTCCTTGGTGTAATTTTTTCCACATTTCTTGTGCTTGGGGCTCACTGAGCTTCTTGGATCTGGGGTTTATAGTTCTCATCAAGTTGAGAATTTGTTCAGTCACTGTTTCTTCACATATATTTTCTGCCTCCCCACGCACCCCCCCCTCACACACACACATCCGCAACTTCTTTTCTCCTTTGGGGAGTTGGGTTACCTTTTCGTCTGCTTGAGGTGATTCCACAGCTCACTAATGCCCTTTTAATTTTTATGATTTTTTTTTTCCTGTTTCATTTTGGATAATATCTTCAAAGTAGCTGATCTTCTTTAGCATTGTCTAATGTGCCATTAATTCTGTCAGTGGGTTTTTCATCTCCTACATGTGGTTTTCATGCTAAAAGTTGAATTTGGGTCTTCTTTATGTCTTCCATCTCTCTCTCTATTTTATAATATATGGTACACAGTTATGGTAACTGTTTTAATGTGCTATCTACTGATTCTATCATCTTTGACAGTCTGGAGCAGTTCCAATAGGGTGATTTAATATATCATATTTTCTGCTTCTTTGAGTCTTTGAGTTCCTGCTTTTTTGTGTGGTGGTTTTTTGGTTTCGTTTGTTTGTTTGTTTGTTTGTTTTTTGGACAGCCAAACATTGTGAATTTTCTTGTTGGGAGCTGGTCACTTTTGTATTCCTATAAATATTTTTGAGCTTTGTTTGGAACACAGTTAAGTTACTCGGGAACAGTTTGATCTTTTTAGGTCTTGCTTTTAAGATTAGTTGGTGTGAGTGGAGCAGAGCTTAGTCTAGTATTCATTACTCCCCATTTCTGAGGCAAGGCCCTCTGTATACTCTAGCCAGTGCCCCATGAACCTAAGTGTTCCAGCCTGTCTGGGGTGGGAACAGGCACTATTCCATGCCCTCTGTGAGCATCAGGCACTGTTTCTTCTAATCCTTTCAAATAGTTGTCTCCCCAGCCCTGGGTGATTTCCTCACATGCACGAGCTGATCTATACCCAGCTGAGCTCTGGAGGGAAGCCCTTTACAGATCACGGGTGATGTCTCTGTATGCAGCTCTCTCCTCTCCCACATTCTGTCCTAGGAACTCTAGCTGCGTAGTCTTTCCATATTCTTAGCTCATGTCCTCAACTCAGGGTCCCACTCTTCCTCTCTTCCCCTTTTCTGCACCGCATCCTAGAAACTTTCCAGGCAAGTAAGCTATGGGCAGTCACTTCATTTGTTTCTCACGTCTCAGAGATCACTATCGTTCATTGCATGATTCCCAGTTCTTGTAAACCATTGTTTCATATATGTTTCACACATTTTGTCCATTTGGTTGTTCAGGTGGAATGGTAAATCTGGTCCCTATACTTACTCCATCTTGTCAGGAAGCAGAAATTCACTGTATTATTTTTAAAAGCTATTTCATATTAGGTATGGGAAAAGTAGGGAGCCTATTTACAATTAATAAATGGCAGCAACACAATCAGCTTTTTATCTGAGAAACAAATTAGATTCCCTTCCTCACAGTGCAAATTCCAGCTAGATTAAAGAATCCTAATGTGAAATATCAAAACTAGGAAAGTGTTAGAAGAGGGGCGCCTGGGTGACTCAGGTGGTTAAGCATCCATCTCTTGATTTCAGCTCAGGTCACAATCTCATGATTCATGAGATCAAGCCCTACAGTGTGCTCTTCCTGACAGTGCAGAGCCTGCCTGAGATTCTCTCTCTCTACCCCTCCCAGGCTCAAGCACTCACACTTCCTCTCTGTCTCTCAAAATAAATGAATAAACTTTTCAAAAGAAACAAGTATTAGGAGAAAATATAGGAAAATATTTTTATATTTTTAGGCTGGTGAAAGGCCTTTCTAAATAAAACATAAAGTCCAGGGGCACCTGGGTGGCTCAGTCAGTCAGTTAAGCGTCCGACTTTGGCTCAGATCATGATGTCATGGCTTGTGAGTTCGAACCCTGCACTGGGTTCTATGCTGACAGCTCAGAGCCTGGAGCCTGCTTCAGATTCTGTGTCTCCCTCTCTCTCTCTCTACCCCTCCCCTGCTCATGCTCTGTCTCTCAAAAATAAACATTAAAAAAATTGTTTTAATAAATAAAACAAAGTCTGGAAACCATAAAAGAAACAACTAGCACATTTGCTTACACAAAAATTAAAGCTTTCTATTTGTGAAAGTAAAAAGGAAGCACAGATTGGTAGTAAAATAATAGTTTTTAAAAGGGAAAGAAGTTAATGTCCATAAGGCATAAAGAACCATATGTATATTTTTTTAATCCATAAGAAAAACATAGAGGAAAACGAAGAATGGGTCATTTACAAGGATAAAAAATACAAATGCCAGTAATCAAGTGAAAAATGCTTAACCTCAAGAGAAATGCAAAATACAATAATAAATTCTACTTTTCACCAATCAGGTTGGCAAAAAATAAAAAGGCTGCTAAAATGCAATGTTTTGAGAGCATGATTAAGTAAGCACCCCACATTTTGCCAGGAGGATTCTAAAATGGTAGGGCTCTTTTGGATTTCTCATATCCAGCACAATTTAAATTGATCTTCCTCTTTTAACTAGTAATTTCAGTTCTTCAGTTGCATCCTATAGCAACATGTATAAGTGCCCAAAGGCCTGTGTGTAAGCTTTGGTTCTGTAGTAAAAAAGAAACAATGTCTATTAACAAGAACAATGTTAAATAAATTGTGATCATCTGTTCTGTGGAAAACTGCAGTTGTTAAAAGTACAGGTGGATTTATGGTACTGATGTAAAATATCTTCAGCAATGATGTATTGCTAACTGGAAGCATAACCCATAAGACGTTTATTAGGAGCCAATTTGTTATTTCAGAAAATAACAGGAAATTGTGTGTCTGGCGTGTGCATGTGTGTTCGATTGGATGGGAATACACGAAAATAGATCTGGAAGAATCCTCATCCTGGCAGTAATAGTGATAGTTTCTAGGGTGAGAGGCTTGGAGTTTTCACTGCATATACTTCTATATTGCTTGTTCCCCGCCACCCCATGATATCCCACGCATATCAAGCCTGTATACTTTCAGTCTCTTTTTTTAAATCTCTATAAATTTTTTAAGTGAAGTAGCCTGAACTCATTCAGTAGGAAGAACATGGAGTCAGTTTGTCATCGTCTCAAATCACAGCTCTAATATTTGTTAATTTTGTAAACTTGAATCAACTTTAGCCTTTCTGAGCCTCAGTTTCCCCATCTGTAAGATGGAGGTAATTATAGTGCTTCATGAACCATGGTAAAGATTAAAAAGAAATGGGCACCTGGCTGGCTCAGTCGGATGAGCATGTGACTCTTGAACTCAAGAGTTGTGAGTTTGAGCCCTGCGTTGGGTGTGGAAAGTTCTTAAAAATAAAATCTTTTAGGGAGGCCAGGATGGCTCAGTCGGTTAAGTGGCTGACTTGATTTCAGCTGAGGTCATGATCTCATGGTTCATGAGTTCGAGCCTCACATCAGGCTCTGTACTGGCAGAGGGTTCTCTCTCGCACTCTCTTCCTTCCCCTGCTCAGGCTCTCTTTCTCTCAAAATACATAAACATTAAAAAAAAAATTAAAAAGTAAAATAATATCTTTTTAAAAATAGAAAAAATAAGAAACAGATTAAAAAGAAATCATGCAGGGGCGCCTGGGTGGCTTAGTCGGTTAAGCGTCCGACTTTCGCTTAGGTCATGATCTCGCAGTTCGTGGGTTCGAGCCCCGCGTCGGGCTCTGTGCTGACTGCCAGCTCAGAGCCTGGAGCCTGTTTCAGTCTGTGTCTCCCTCTCTCTCTCTGACTCTCCCCTGCTTACGCTGTCTCTCTCTCTCTCCTAGAAATAAATAAAAATATTAAAAAAAAAAAAAAGAAATCATGCATAGACAGTAGTTAGCAAATTGCCTGGGGGATTTCAGTGTTTGGTAAAAACAAGTTGCTGATGTTGCTGCTTCTGTCTTTGTTGTTCTTGATCTGAGGCAAGACTAATGCTTCATTTCACATGCATCTTTAGAGAAGATGGTTTCGATGACGTCAGCATCTCCCTTAGCTGTCAGTGTTGAGGTCATTCTGATGTCCTTGTTGAATGAGAGCACCCCCAGCCCACAGTCTAAGAGCATGGTGTTTTCATGCCTGGGGAGCACTTTGGCCTCTACTGGTCATCCTCTCTTTAATGCCACCTTGACCCATTTCTCACAGTGTGAGCCATAATTTAGTCGGATCAAGCCTGCTATTAGGAATCTCTTCAGTCTCCAGCCCTCGGGAAGCTTTAAGCCTCGTGCACTGCAGGACTGTGATATGTCAGTGTTCCTCTACTCGTCTTCCCTGATCGGCTAGCAGTGGGCGGACATTCGAACTCACATCTAGTAGAGCTGTCACACGAGTCTTAGCAGCACTGAGACTTACCTTCTTGTTCTTTTCCTGGAAAATTGTCTTTCCATCTGCCAAGCCAAAGATTGGTTGCACGTTGCTTGCTGCAGTAGGATGGATGACGAATTACCTTGCCTCTTTCTCATTACAGCTGTCCCCAATCTCTTCATGCTGGAAACAGTGGATTCTGCGAAGTTGGCAGACAAAGTGAACAGTTCGTGGCAGAAAAAAGGTTCTCCGGAAAGGTTAAAGGTTATGGTCCAGGTTAACACCAGTGGAGAGGAGAGTAAGTGACCAGACCTAATTGTAGATTTTTCTTCCCTTAGGATGGTTGAAGGTCAGGAAGAATGGCAGGCCTAAGTATCCGAGAGCTAAGGTTATAGGAGGAAATCATGGGCCTGTATGTAAGAGGTTTCACGTAGGACCTAGAAGGCATGGTGACATCTAAGCCAGTCCACATATAATTCTCTCACACATCATGGGTTGTTAGTTCTTAATTTTTTGGTGGCCAGAATTGGATAAATCAGGAAGGGGATTGTGACTTTGTATTTCTGAAAATTCCCAAAAGTCACCATCGCTCCTGAAAGAGATGGCATAATTACACATATTTCTCCAGTGTTCAAAAACAAAAACAAAAAAACGTACTTAGTATTACCTTGGGAGAGAATAGAAGAAAATCACATGAGCACCAGTTAATGAATATCTTGGGTTAACACTGTAACCTAGTGAACAGAGCAGGAGCTTTGGAATCAGACCCCGGGTTTGAGCTCCAGCACTTCCCAGAGTTGTAACCTTGGGTAAGTTACCTAACCTCTCTGTACCTCAGTCTCCTTGGAGGACAGTGATATAATGGTGCCTACTTAAGAGGCTATTGTAAGGATTGTAAGTCATGATACAGGCAGAGCTGCTGGCCTAGAACCCCACGCCTCTCACTCGTTAGCCACTTGTGGAGGGTAAGTGTTTACAGTTAGTCATTTGCCCACGACCCTCAGACCAATATTCACCAAACCGTAACGTGAAGGAACACATTGCAAAGACTGTTTTCTAGATAGGCCCTCAGGCCACACTTCCTGGACTGAAATCCCAGTTGCATAGTTTCTAGTTGTGTGACCTTGGAAAAGATACTTAGTCTCCTCGTGCCTCAGTTTCCTCATCTGTAGAAGGGGCATAGTAAGAGTACTTACTTCATAGTTATTGTATAAGTGAAAGGCTCTTAGGATTTGGCATATGTGCCTGACACATAAATGTTCTGTAAATTTTAATAATTGTCATTATTTCTACACACAAGTGGATTATAACTTACATTATCAATATTAGTAAATCTGAAATTGACTCCAGGTCAAGTCTATGACATTTCTTGATAATTAGCTATAATTTTCTGTAGTTAAAGATTAAAGTGAATGTTTTTAGCATCTCTATTTGATAAATGAAGGAAAGAGAATATCAGTATTCCTTATAACTGCATACCAATTAATCATTTGCTGCAGATTTCTCCTCTAGTTGTTAATTAGCAAGTTCAATTAAATTTTGAAAGTATATAGTAAAACTGTGTGACAGATCCTTTATTTTTAAATGTGTACAGTCTTAGGGCGCCTGGGTAACTCAGTCAGTCGAGGATCCGACTCTTGAGTTCGCCTTAGGTCATAATAATTTTGCTGTTCATGGGATCAAGCCCCACATCGGGTTCTGTGCTGACAGCGCAGAGCCTGCTTAGGATTCTCTCTCTCTCTGCCCCTCCCCTACTTGCGCTCGCTGTCAAAATAAATAAATAAACTTTTTTTTTTAAGCTGTTCTTTTTTAATTTTAATTTCTTTAAATTTTTTTAGTGTATGTTTATTTTTGAGAGAGAGAGACAGAGTATAAGCAGGGCAGGGGCAGAGAGAGAGGGAGACACAGAATCCAAAGCAGGCTCCAGGCTCTGAGCTGTCAGCACAGGGCCCAATGCGGGGTGCAAACCCCAGATGCGAGATCATGACCTGAGCCAAAGTCAGATGCTCAACCAACTGAGCCACCCAGGCACCCCTGCACATTTTTTAAAGCAAGAATTTAAAGTGTTTACAATTCTAATAAATGAATGAAACTAGAGAAATACCAGAGCTAGGAAAAGAATTCTCAGGTCAGCCTGGCATTTTGGCAATGTGAGTCCTGTCAGTGTCCCAAGAAAAGCGGTGTTTTTTCTTTCCCCTGTACTCTCAGCTCGTATCCCTGTGATTCAGATGATGATTATTCAGAAGGGAAGCAACACAGACAAAGACCTCAAAACTTGGGTTACTCTTCAGGACTTAGGGATATGTGTTTTTCAGGAAGCCCTCTTGTCCGAGAGTCCCCTCATCTGTTACCAGGAAGGGATGGAAATGGAGCCTTCCTCCGGCTACCGAAAACATTTTGGTACAAGTGTCTTCTGTTTCCTTTTGTGCAGGTAAACATGGCCTTCTGCCTTCAGAGACCATAGCCCTGGTGGAGCACATAAATGCCAAGTGCCCCAGCCTGGAGTTCGTGGGGCTGATGACCATAGGAAGCTTCGGACATGATCTTAGTCAAGGACCGAACCCGGACTTCCAGGTACTGGGGTCCAAGGGTGGTGGGATTGCTCATGCGCCAGAGTGGCATCTTAATGAACTGCTGTCGCAGGCCTGGCTGGTGGAGTCACTTGCAAAGACCCCGCCGGGTACTGCCTGCCAGGGGTGACGAGCCGCTTCTGAACGCTTCTCAGCTCCACCGGAACTTTGACCAAAACACAGTCGTTAGAGAAAATGAGCTCTTTTCTTCCTTTCCAGGGACTGATCTTCTTTTTTTTTTCAAGCAGGAACATTTGCTCCAAAACTTTCAGTAGCTTCTAGAAATTTTGACAGGACTTGAAACCCTGAGGAATCAACAGTCTTTGTCTGTGGTGTTCAGATTGGGCCCCTCTCAGACACCCCATGGCGAGGGCAGGAGGAAAATAATGTCACCCTTGTCTCTCTGTCAGGCGTTGCTGTCCCTCCGAGAGGAGCTGTGTAGAAAGCTGAACGTGCCCACAGAGCAGGTTGAGCTGAGCATGGGGATGTCCGTGGATTTCCAGCATGCGGTAAGTTGTGCCCCTGGTGCCCTGGCTGCCCAGGGGGCGGGGCCAACGGGCTGCAGGAAAGCCGTTTCCACCGGAAAAACCTTTGAAATGCTTCATTGTGGCAATAGAGCAGCCGATAGCCGTGGCTCTCAACTGTTCCATAATCCCCCACCCCTTTTCTTTTTGAAATGAAATGTGTATAAATTATAGCCTGACACAGAACTTTTGTAAACTCCATCTCATTCCCTAAGGGAATTCTAAAGAAAGATAAGGAGGGACACCTGACTGGCCCAGTCTGTAGAACCTGTGACTCTTGATCTCTGGGTCGTGAGTTCAAGCCCTATGGTGGGTGTAGAGATGACTTAAATATAAATAAATAAACTTGTAAAAATTATAGTTTAATTTCTTATTTTTCTTTATTTTTGGGGTGCCTGGATGGCTCAGTCAGTTAAGCATCCAACTTTGGCTCAGGTCGCAACCTGATGGTTCACTAGTTAGGGCTGTGCACTGACAGCACAGAGCCTGCCTCGGATCCTAGCTCCCTGTCTCTCTGCTCCTCCCTGTCTCCCTCTCTATCTCTCTCAAAAATAAACAGATATTTTTTTAAATTATAGTCTATAATTTCCTATTTTTCACTCTTTCTTTTTAAGTAATCTCTACACCCACTGTGGGGCTGGAACTCATGACCCCGAGATCAAGACTCACACGCTGTACCGACTGAGCCAGCCAGAGGCCCCTAAACTATAATTTTTTAAAAAGCATTGCACTGTGGAAAGGCCTGGGTGTGGGTGTCTGACAGTGAGTCCTGATGGGTAGTCCGGAGCTCATCTCATGGGGAGATTCACCCTGAAAGTCACAGCTATAGCTATATGCTGATGGAGGTGTGCTGTTCTGGAACAGTAAATAACTTGATCAAGTCCTAAAAATCAGAGTGTCAACTTCACTGTGTGTATCCAGTAGTTGCATTCTCAGAAAACCCTATATATCAACACGGTGCAACGGTGCTGTGTGTTTATAAGTAAAATGGGATTCGTTCCCTCGCTCAAGCAATTAATGGGACGTTTTTTCATCTGCCTGACCATGGAACGTTAGGAGGGCGTATGGCCCTCAGACAGCTCTTCGTTGTGCCACTGTGTCTTCGTCACACAGGGTGCCGCGCCTTAACAGCCCCAGCTAAATGGCAGTCATGTCCCCGAGTCACCAGGACAGCCAAGGAAATCCTTACTTCTGAAACGTGCCCCTGGAGGTACCATTGCCCCAAGGGTAAGCCTGCCCGGCAGCCCGCTTCAGCTGCCTCGTCCTGGTTCTCCATAGAAGTGCCTCCAAAGCCAGAACGAGAGGCGGAACTTCAGCATCTCCTGCCTGATTTCAAACTCGGCCTTTGATACTCTCTCCTCTTTTCCACAGATTGAAGTAGGGTCCACCAATGTCCGAATAGGAAGCACCATTTTTGGAGAGCGAGATTACTCCAAGAAACCTGCCCCGGACAAGTCCACGGCAGAACGCAAGACTGCCGTGGAGGTGGCCCAGGCACACTGAGCCCAGGCACAGCCGGCAGTGGCTCGCAGCCGCGGGCCTGTCCAGGAACACCCACTATGCACTCGCCTGGCCTCCGTTTTGATAGTCCCTGTGTTACGGCACAGCCACGCTCTCCCTGTGGCCTGGAGAGAGTGCGCTGATGCTCCTGGGCGTTGATGGGGACCATTTGTACTTCGGATCTGTCATAAGAAGCTCACTTCAAGCAGTGGCTTTGAATCAGGTTTGAGAAATCCAGACGTTTCTGCAGAACAGACATCAAATCAGTAGCCAGGAATCGAGTTCCGTGTTGAATCCTGCCCAGGGGCACCAAGCAACCCGTGAATGCCTTCCCCGGGTTAAAATGTGGTCACTCATGCCTATAATCACCAGGGCAAGAGGGAGTCCTATCTGTCATGCACTTTAATGGAAAGTCCCTTCATGCAAACCCCCTAGTGAGTAATCGTCTTTGCTGCTCTGGAGCAAGGTGATTTCTGCCCCCAGGTTTGACCCCACTCAGTAAACATCTGTCCCCACTCTGGAATGACAGTGCAGGTAACTTCAGGAGCTGGCTCAGGGCAGTGCTGCAAACCCAAATCATGTTGATCAGAGTTTGCGTCACCTTGTCCCTGTGGACCCCGAAAACTACAGGGGTAACATAAGACTCGGGCCTTTCCAACATCCTCCTAGACAGGCCTCTCCTAGATGAGAATTAAATGCTATGATTTCTTCTCCACCATAACTGCCCCAGAAATTCGTTCAAGGCCAGTTCAGGCTCACAGTTTCAACAAAGCCTGGCTTTGAGTTTCCTTTTCCTGCGGAGCATTTTCCAGGCACATCTAAAGCCCCTCCCTCCACCCTCCGCACCCCCTCACCCCTGCTATAAGCCAGAATTTGCAACTTCTTGATTGTTAATAAAGTAGCAGCAAGGTCTTCAAAAACCAGAAAGCACAATTCTCAGATATCTGTAACAGATGACTTCGGTCTGGGTGGTTTATTTTCTAGATGTTTTTTCCTGATTTGTTCAAGCCCCAGTCTTCATTTTAGGAAATAACTTTCAGAACATAATGCTGCTGCTGAATGTAATTTTGTAAAACCTAAACCATTATGATTCCTGTACTGTTTCAGTCAGAGCTATCACATGTTTCAGAGTCTAGTGAATAAAAATGCAAGTTTGAATTATACCATCTGTGCCAATTACAAAGCAATTAAAAGATTTATTTTTTATGACCTGGTGTAATGAGTGAGTATTAACAGGAGCGGGGCCTGGGAACCAACAGGTAGCAGCTGTGCCCGTCACTGGACATCGTGCCAGCCTGGCTTTAGAGGAGGACCTCCCTTGGGCCACAGATGCAGCTAAAGGCACAGGGTGGGTGAGACAGCAATCCTGAACTTCTAAAGGCAAGAAAATGAAATGCTTACTAACCTCTTGCTGCAAGAACTATTTGAACCTGCTGCCGCTATTTGAAATGGCCTCTAGGTGGCGACATTGGCCAGCCTGTGGGGCCAGCATTGAGGCTTTCAGATCAGTAAATTTGCTGGGAGGGGCCCCTCGCCCTTAGTCTCCCCCCTTCAGAGAGCAGGAATGGAGGCCAAAGAACACGATTTTTCCAAGTGATACGGCTGACTCTTGCAGCACCACTGGGTTCTTCCAGATACCTCATTTCTTTGCTATCTGGGAGCACTTTGGCAAAAGGCGAAAGATTTATGCGATCTTAAGAGAAACCAGAGTATGCCTGGGAGCACTTTGGGAGAGGGGACCTGGCCTAAGCTTAATATTAATAAAGGACTCTCTGGATTGTGCCTAGAGATTGAGAACAACGAAAGAGGGAAGCCAGGGCCTGATCAAACCCAGATAAGGAAAGGAAGCCACAGTAAGTCTGTCCAGTGTATTGCAGCGGAAGGAAAATTGAACAAGATTGTGACTTTGGTTTTGTTACATGTGACAGCAACAGGTGGGAATACTCCCAGATTTTCATCAGATCAGTGAGAGCATCCACAGCAAGTGTCCTGGGTCACCCAGTGTGCCGTTCTGGGGCCAATCTGCCACACAGCCTAGCATCCTCCGTGCCACCAGCAGCCAGGGCCTTCGCCTGCCTCAGAAGGTTCGGATGCCCAGAGGCTCCCAGGTACCCCCAAGGCTTTATCCTGGCAAACTTCCTCCTAGATTCCAACTATTGCATCTCTTGATTACTCACCTCATACTCTGCTTCCCGCCCCTCACTTTGTAAACATTCCCTGGCACGTAGAGTGCTCTCCCCTACATTCTCTCATTTTGCCCTCACAGAAGTTGGTAGGATAATTTAGGCTACGTGGTGGTGTCCCTTTGTGGATAGGGTACTGAGTCCCAGAGAAGGTTCTGCACTTTTTTTTTTTTTAAAGTTTTTGTTTATGTTTACTTCTTTATTTTGAGAGAGAGAGAGAACACAAGTTGGGAAGGGTCAGAGAAGAGAGACAGACTTCCCAAGCAGGTTCCACACCATCAGCACAGAGCTCAATGTGGGGCTCGAACTCACGAACTGTGAGATCATGACCTGAGCAGAAGTCGGATGCTTAACCGACTGAGCCACCCAGGTGCCCCTCGGCTCTTTTCTGAGGGCATAGTGGGTCAGTGGCAGAGCAAGAAATAAACTGCAGGCTCTTGATTCTTGGTCCAGAGCAGGTTTATAATGACTGGTAAGTAGCATATTCTTAGATTTCTAGGTTTAAGTTAAGAGAAGCATATTCCCGGTAAAAAACTGTATGCTTTTAGTCTGCTGTAATTGTGGAGAACAGACACGTCTTTAATGCAGAACAAACGCTGAAACCACAAGCAGTGAGGATGAGGAGGGAGGAGAGAATTAAACCCAGCCCGAGTGGAATCCACTCTCTCTTCTGTCATCCCGTTTCCCTAACAAACACATCAAATTCAAACTATCAGATTCAAACTATCCCCTGGGCTGCGAGGCCCGGATCGGATCATGCAGAGCTGTGCCCTTTTCCCCTTTGAGCCAGACTGGCAGGAAATTGTGTTCCCCGTGGCTACGTAGGGGGAATGAGGTCAAATGGGACATTCTTAAAACCCAAGGCACCTCTGTCCTTCTGCAAAGAAGTGGCCCCGTGCTTCCCACCAAAGCTCTATACAGGAAGGACGCGCCCACCAACTCCTGAAGGGCTGTGATAAGGGTGGATGTCGTCAGTGGTGCAACTGGAACTGATTTGCTCTGGGAACTGTGACCGTCTTTACCATGAAATCAGTCGAATTGCTCTTACATCAGCCTCATGACTAAGGGCAGAAGAATCCAAACCGTCCACCAAGAAGTTATACTAATCTGCCCTCTCCCCGCAAGAAGCATATGGGTAAAAAGAAAAGGGCTTCCTCTTCCAGCCAGTTTGCATCCACGGGCATCGGCTATGGCCATGTGCAGTTGAGGGGCTAATGCACAAGGTAGGGGGCCCTTGAACTTCACCTCCCCTCCTTTAATCACTTCAAGGGTCCGAGGGACCTCAGAGCTAACACTCTGCCTGGTAAAGTCCCACACAGTGAACATTTAAAATGGAATATGCTAGGGGAGGGGGCTTTGGGTGCCTTTCTTGTATTTCAAATAAGTTTTCCAAGCTCACAAAGGAGCAGAAGCCACCCCTTGGGTGCCTGAGTGCCTCCACCACTACCAGCTGCTCCCCAGGGGCTCCGTGTGCCCCCTACCAGCACCCGCCCCATCCAGGCGCCCCAGCTCAGCACTGCCTGAGGCTCTCAGGCTCCACAGCAAAGCTTGACCCAGCTGCCAATCTCCAAAATAAAATCAATGTGTGACCTTCCTCGCCAGCTGTACCGAAGAAACTAGCACAAACCAGGGCCAACTTTGAAGCCAAGAAGGGAAGATGAGAAGTTGGGAGAGAGAGAAAGAGGGGGGGAAACTTGGCTGGACTTGAAAGGTGTCTTGTCTGCCTGTTCCCCATTAGGCGCAATTCTCTTGCAATCTGCCGCCTCGACATAATTCTCTTGACCAGAAACTCTCCGGAGAGATAGTGTCAGAAGGAAAAACAAACAGAATAGCATCTCTGACAGCAGAGTCACTTAAAAGCCTATCTGGTGGAGGGAGGGGAGAGAAGAGATGTCAGCACGCAGGGGAAGGCACTCCACAGTGGGCCACGTGTGCAGACACGGCTTAGCCAGGGAAGGGACAAGCACAGGAAGGGGAGCCCAGGCGACGACAGCCTCAGGAAGGGGAACTCCAAGTCCTCGGCCCTACAAGCCCCTCTCATCAGAGATGCACTTGGGCTGGCTTTCTCACCTATGCACTCAACACCAAAAACCTACTGTGCTGGCCGCCTTTTTTTTTTTTTTTAATTTTTTAATGTTTTGTATTTATTTCTGAATGGAGAGAGAGAGACAGCGTGAGCAAGGAGGATCAGAGAGAGAGGGAGACAAAGAATCCGAAGCAGGCTCCAGGCTCTGAGCTGGCTGTCAGCACAAAGCCCGATGTGAGGCTCAAACCCACAAACCATGAGATCATGACCTGAGCTGAAGTCGGATGCTTAACTGACTGAGCCACCCAGGCGCCCCTGTGCTGGCCTTTTTATAGCCCTGTGATGCACCAGAGAGAGATTCAGAAGGACTGTCTTGGGGGGAAAAGTGATCCGAACCTTTCCTGCCTCACTTTCCCTTTGCTGACCACCACCAGCAGCAGAAGGCTGAGGAGCCACCTTTCCCTAGAAGCTGGCAGTCAGCTCCCCGGGCAGCTAAGACTCTTCTCCTCAACACTCTTTGACCTGCCTTTGAGCTCAGCAGCCTAGCAGGTTTGGGAAGGCAGGAGCCCAGAGGGTCAGGACTCGGGGAGTGGGGGTACAGGGGCTGAGAGGGCACAACTCTGGGCTCTAGTTTCTGGGGCAGGCATCCCGTTATAGGAGAAAACTTTTTATAAAGGAAGAAAAACTAATCAGAGAAAAGAAGCAAGAGCCTTTCCCTGCCTTTCGGACTTGTTTATTACTAGGATATCTGATTTCAGCAGAGGAAGCCTGCAATGAAGCAAGGTTTTTATTGGCGGTGAGCAAGAGGAATTCAGGGTTTGCCTCTGATTTGGCTTCCCCGGAACAAGCAGCCCGAAGAGTGCTCACTCGCTGCTTTCAGGGAGCTGCCTGGCGCTTGGGGGCCCCCAGAACTCCCGAGTCCTGCAGCATCGCCTAAAATTCCCTTTGGAGGATGAGGGCAGGGCAAGGGCCCCAGCATGGAAGGTGGCCCCATAATCATTTCAGAGAGGAGAGCAAAGGAGGGGGCCAAAAATGTTAAGAAGTTCTGAGATTGGCTCCCAGGGAAGCGGGGGCACGCGAGGGAAGCTGTGCTCGCCGCCCCCCTCCCAGTGGGGACCTGGAGGAGGGAAGGTCTGGTTTGTATGAAAGCGCCATGTCTGTAGCTGAGGGCCGGGCAGGCTGCAGTCGGAGGACCTGATGGTTTCAATGTGTGGGGAAGATAAAGCCAGGATCTGCCGAGGCAGCCTCGGCCAACAGCTTTCCCCAGCCGGGGCGGCTGGCCCCTGCGGAGGGGGTGACCAGCTGGGCCTCAGGCGGCAGGAGCTGCAGCTGATCCCCTGGGGCTCCTCACAGGCACCTCCAGGCCAGACAGCCTGGCTGGGTCTCACCAGAGTCGGGCACAGCCTTCCCACCTCCTACTGGCTCGCGAAGAGGGGTGTCTCCTCCGCTGGAGAAAGAGTGAGGGTGTCCCTCCATTTGGGGGCCTCTGGCTGAGCCCAGCCCTCCCCCTGTCTCCCCTTTTTTCCCCTTTGTATCCTGTTTCTACCCACCTGCCCCTCTGACCCCGCTCATCACCCTTCCCCAGCAAACTACCTGCCTGTGAGGGGGAAGAACCTCGAAGCTGAGGTCTCTAAGGGTCCCCGCTTGGCTTTCCTACTTGACCCTGCTGCCGAGAGCGTGAGGACTTTGGGGCCTGCAGAGATTGTAGAGGTGCAGGTTTGGGATGCATGTGAGAGCCACCGCCGTCCCCTGCCTGGGCGTGGGTCTCTGTGACTGGTCCCAGGCCTTCTCCCAGACTGAACGTGCGCCTCGGCCACGGTGTCGGCTGTCCACAGCGTGGCTCCTTTCACGGGCCAGGCCTGGGCCCAGTTTGGGATCTACTGTGCCACGGGGAGCTCCGAGCTGATGCCCAGAGACCAGGGCAGGGGCGGGGGGTGGGGAGGCGGAACAGGGCTCTCACTGTGTCTGCTTCCAGGAGCCCGGGCATCAAAAGGACATTA